TTTTCTGTTCACCTCTTTGACTCTTCCTCATTTCTTCCATTTGCTTTAGCATCTATATGATAAAGAGCAAGTTTCAGGGTCTCTTCTGTCATCCATTTTGTTTTTTTCATTCTTTCCTGTCTTCTTAATGACCTTTTGCTTTCTTCCTGTGTGATGTTCTTGATGTCATCCCACAGCTCTTTTGGTCTTTGGTCATTAGTGTCTGATTCATCAAATCTGTTTATAAGATGGTCTCTAAATTCAGGTGGGATATGTTCAAGGTAATTTGGCTATCGTGAACTTGTTTTACTTTTCTTCAACTTCAACCTGTATTTGCGTATGAGCAATAGATGATCTGTTCCACAGTCTGCCCTGACCTTATTTAAGCTGATGATACTGAGGTTTTCTACCATTTCTTCCCACAGATGTAGACAATTTGATTCCTGTATCTTCCATCTGGTGAGGTCCATGTGCATTTTGTTGTTGTTGTTAAGTGCCAGTTGAGTTGATTCCGACCTCACCTTTTATGTTGTTTAAAAAAGGTATTTTCAGTGAATAAGTCATTGGTCTTGTAAAATTCTGTCATGTGATTTCCAGCATCATTTCTGTCACCAAGACCATATTTTCCATGTCCTGACCCTACTCTTTGTTTCTAACCTTTGAATTCCAATCACCAGTAATTATCAATACATCTTGATTGCATGTTTGATCAATTTCAGACTGAATAAAATGGTAGAATTCTTTGTTTTCATTATCCCTGACTTTATTTGTTGGTGCATAAATTGGAGTAATAATGGTATTTTTACATGGCTAATACCTGTCCATTTCAGCTCATGCCTAGGATATTGATCTTTATATGTTCCATTTCATTTTTGAAAACTTAGAATTTTCCTAGATTCATACTTCAGACATTCCATGTTCCAGTTATTACTGGGTATTTACAGCTGTTTCTCCTCATTTTGAGTTGTGCCACATCTTCAAAAGAAGGTCCCAAAAGCTTTACTTAATTCACATCATCATGATCAATTCCACTTTGAGACGTTTTCTCTTCCCCAGCTGTATTTTGCGTGCCTTCCAACCTGAGGGGCTCATCTTCCGGCAGTATGTCTGACAATATTCTGGTGCCATTCATAATGTTTCATCTACTGGCACTCTGTGTGACAGTTGTCGGCTGCTATGCATAAGGTTTTCAGTGACTAAATATTCAGAAATAATTCTGCCTCTCCTTCTTGCTAGTCTGTCTTAGTCTGGAAGTTGAGCTGAAACCTGTGCACCATGGGTGAAACTGTTAGAATGAAAATACAGGTGGCATAGCTCCCAGTGTCACAGGAACACTCAAACTACCGTGGTATGACAAATTGGCAGATGAGTCGTGGATAGTAAACTTAGGTTATTTTACTGATAGGCATCTTAAGGGGCAGTACATTTATGTTAATAAAGGAGTAGCTACTCAGAAAAGGAGAATAAGGATGATTGTACAACTGGAACAGTATAATTGATGTTACTAAATGGTTTTGGCATGCCAAGAAATTGGATGAAAGTTACCTGGCCAACCACCTAGAAGAAATCCCTATTTGTGTCCATTCCAAAGAAAGGTGATTCAACAGAGAAGGTGAAAATTATACAACAAGCAAGTAAAATTTAAAAGTAAAACAAGTTAATTCAAATACGGGTACAGTAATACATTGATAGGAAGCTACCAGAAATTAAAGCTGTATTTAGAAATGGTTGTGGAACAAGGGATATCACTGTTGATGTCAGATGAATCTTGGCAAGAGAATACCAGTGTTTTATTGACTTAAGGCATTTGCTGTGTGGTTCATGAAGTTATGGATAACATCATGAAGAATGAGTAACCTAGAAAACTTAATTGTGCTCATGAGGAATTTATACATAGACCACGAGGCAGAACAAGGCTTACTGTTGTTAAAGTGCCATTGAGTCCATTCCAACTCATAGCAACCCTAAGTAGGGTTTCTGAGATTGTTAAATCTTTGCGGGAGCAGAAAGTCTCATCTTTCTCTTGCACGGTGGCTAGTGGGCTTGAACCACTGACTGACCTTGTTCACAGTCCATGGCTTATCTTGTGAAGCCGTGGTTTAAAATTGAGAAAGGTTTGCGTCAGTGTTATATTCTTTCACCATACTTAACTCATTCTGCATTCTTAGCACTCATTAACAACCCACAATAGCATCTAACTCAACCTTGTTTGCTAAAAGCTAAGAGGACTTGAAATACTTTCTGAAGAAGACCAAAGACTACAACTTTTAGTATGGGTTATAATTCAATATAAAGAAAACAAACATGGTCAAAACTGGACCAGTAAGCAACATCACGATACATGGAAAAAACACTGAAGTTTCAAGGATCTCATTTTATTTGGATTCACAGTGAACACCCATAGAAGCAATAATCTAGAAATTCAATAACATATTATATTGGTCAAATTTTATGTAAAAGACCTCTGTAAAGTGTTAAAAACAACAGAGATACCACTTTGAGGATTAAAATGCACATGACCCAAGTCATGGCATTTCTATTCACCTCATATGCATGGGAAAGCTGGACAATGAATAAGAAAGACCAAAAAGGAATTAATGGCTTTGGATTATGGTATTGGCAAAGAATGTTAAATATACAAAGACTGCCAAAAGAACGAACAAATTTTGTGTTGGAAGAAGTACAGCCAGAATGCTCCTTAAAAGTAAAGATGGTGAGACTTTGTCTTACATACATACTTTGGACATGTTATCAGGAGGGACCAATTCCTGACAAGGTCATCATGCTTGATAAAACAGAGAATTAACGAAAACGAGAAAGATCCTGATACATTGGAAAAATACTAAAGTTTCAAAGATCTGATTTTACTTGGATTTACAATGAACACCCACAGAAGCAATAATCTAGAAATCAGATAACATAGTACATTGGTCAAGTTCGCTGTAAAAGACCTCTTTAGAGATATCCCTTTGAGGTTTAAAATGTACATGTCCCAAGATGGATTGACACAGTGACTGCAACATAGGGCTCCAGCATAAATAATGAGTGAGGATGGTGCAGGATGGGGCTGTGTTTCATTTTACATAGGGTCACTATGAGTCAGAATTGGCTCAGCAGCATCTAATAACAACAACAAATGGTACATATAGGAACTGTTGCTGTACATTTGGCTTTGTAAATTCTCAACAAAATTAATTTCATTAACTAGGATACTCTGAGGCCTGACTTTAGGAAGCTGAAATTGGAAATTTTCTGTGATGGGGCAGCACATAGTTTATTTATAACATCAGATCAATTTAACATAATATCTTTAAGGGCCAAGGTCTTTAACGGTTCTGAGTGTTCCAGCTTTCCTCAGAACTCACTCTGGTGAGTGTGTGATGGGTCATTTCCAATATTCTCAGTCAGAATGCAAGGAGAGTTCTTTACACCCACTACTTTGTAAGCAGGGTCTCTATATGTTGAACATTCTTATGGACAAATGAGTTCCAGTCTGTAAAAGCATTTCACTACTGCCTTGCTGTGCTTTTTAAGGGACATTTTCTCAATTGATGGTTGTGGGTCAGCTTGGTTATTCAAGTGACTAGAAATTTCCCCAAGTCTACCAGGTTATGACTGTCTGTCATCAGGTCTTTCTAGTGGACTTCCTTTTGTCCTCCAGTGGTACAAAAGATGCTTCATGATTCATCTTGTGAAAAGCCAGAAGAATGTCTGCCTGTGTCCCAGCTCAAGGCTTTGACTCTGAAGCTGACAGCTCTACCTTTGATGACCAGATTTCTCTATGGACTATTAGCCATGCTCCTAAGTTGTCCCAGGGAGTGGTCCTTGTTTCTTTGCCATGGTTACAACACTGGTGATGATGCCGGGTGTCACAGGAACTCCATCTAAGTACAGAGAACATGTTTGGGTTTACTTGGTAGATAAGTAAAAACATGGTGCTGTTTCTTCAAGGTATTGTGAAATAGGGCCTGTGAATGGGTAGAAGAAAAGGTAGGCTTTGTCATGCTGAGAGTAATTGGTAGGCTTCTGTACTTTCTGTTAAAGGCAAATGGGGTCTCTGCCAGTACCTCTTAGCCAACGTTACCCAGCCCACTGAGTCATCCTACAGGAAACAGTCAGCATGTTGAGCACACACAGCCCTAGTGGTTATGTTGACTCTGTATGACTCATTCCACAGTTAGAGGGAAAACCAGCAGGTTTGGAGATGAGGGTGCCATTTCTAGTGTGTGTGGCTTCACCAATGTTTTGTGGGGTTCCCCTTTTACTTGACAGTATAGTAAGTAGCACTGCAAGTTGCTTCAAGCAGAATGAAATTGTGGTAAATTTCCAGTATTTTCTATATGAGTCACTTGCTCACCAAAACCTCTTTGTGTTTTTATAAGTAAAATTCCTTCACTCAAATGGCTTCATGCTATTTCCACAGACAGGAACCACTGAGACACTCAGGGCAGGCTCTCTCCTGCTATTTTTCTCTGATGTTTTCCGACTTTTCCAGGGATTGTGGCAAAGACAGACATCCATAAGCATAATGTCAGCACATGCTTTCTTTCAACATTATTAAGGGACGCTGTGGCATTGTAAGATAAGCGCTGGATTGGTAATCTCTGGGTCGGCAGTTCAAACCCTACAGCTGCTCTTGGAAACCTGATACAGAATGCTATGAGTCTGAACCAACTCAAGGCACACAACGACATTTTAACATCGGAAACAAAGATGGAACAATTCATGTTCTGACAGTTGTACCCCAGGCTCTACCCTATGCTAGTTTGATGTGAAACTACATCATTTCCACCACATAATTTGACAAAATGATTATTTTTCAAAGTCTTCAGAGACACAGGAAGAACACTACTTGTACCATTTATTCACTACTGTTGACTCTGGCCTTTGGGCCCCCATCATTAGAGCCTGTAGCAGCAGGGTAAGCCTGACCCAGCCTTTCCCTATGCTGTGCAGCAGGATCTCAGGGTGGGGGTACCTTGTCTGAGCCCCTTAGTGATGTGTATGTTCTTCTTTCTTAGTTCCCAGGAGGCAAAGAGTCCAAAGGTGGAACTACATAGCCACTCAGATGTCCCTTTCCAGATGCTGGATGGCAACAGTGGTCTGAGTTCTGAGAAGATCAGCCACAACCCTTGGAGCCTGCGCTGTCACAAGCAGCAGCTGAGCCGCATGCGCTCTGAGTCCAAAGACCGAAAGCTCTACAGTATCCTTGTTGTCCTTCCCACAGAATTGTCTGCTGGGTCTACACGTCTCATGCTGGGGCTTCTTCTAGGCCATTGACCAAAGCCCCTCTCTGCAGGGGCCCCTCTCATCTTCCTGTTCTCAGAGGTGTCTCTTATTCTAGATGTGACTGACCTCTTTTCTTTCTTTCACTAACATGGATTTGTCTTTTCTGCTTTTAGGGCTGGTAAAACTGAAGCTTGAAACTTGGCAGTCTAGACCATTGCTGTCTGGTAGAACTTTCTGTGGTGATGGAGCTAATTTGTGTCTGTGCTGTGCATATGGTAGTCCCCAGCTACACCAAGCAGTTGAAATTTTACTCCTGTGATTGAGGAACTGAATTAAAATTTTATTTCAATTCAGTGTTAAATTTGAATATAATACCATGTGGCTAGTGGCTACCATGTTGACTGTAAGTAGAATAAGGGGTCTGTGTGTGCACATGTATTTCTCCCTCTCAGAAGATAATTGGCAATTAAAAAAGAATACATTTGCTTTTGGTGTTTCTGTTTTGTTTAAAGATAAATACTATACATGTACAACATAAAAAATTTTAAGATATTAAAGGTAAAAAAATTGGATGGAATAGGAATTTTTATATCATTTAGAGTTTTGAAACAGTAGATAAAAAAGAACACTGAGTAGTAACTGATGGGATGTTCCCTGAGCTCTTTGTACGCATTTATTCAGTTCATTTTCACAGTAATCTTCTGAGGAGGAATGATGATTCCCATTTTACAGGTGAGGAAATGGAAGCACAGAGAGGTTACATCTTTGTCCAGAGCCAATGAGTAGCTGAGGTAGGATTTCAGAGTCTGTGCTTTCAGCATGGGGAGTATTTCTATATCCACCTTCAAGTTTTATTGTCACTTGTTTTATAGGTTACCTCATGCTATGAGATATATATGAAAGGCTATTATAGAATATCTTTTATAATTTAAGAGGAATTAAATGTTAAAATATTAATCGTCAAAGTGATGCTCTGCCGAGTGTCTGTCATTCAAGATTCCATGACTGCTTCATAGTACACAAATGTGGAATTGTCTAGTCCCAGTGACATTTGGTGACATAGCTTTATCTAAATGTGCAAGTAAACATTAGATTGTTGTGGACAAAGTAGATTTAGATGAAGACATGGACATAAATGTTAGGAAGCCTGGACCATAAAGCTGTTTAGAGCACAAGGTCCTTAGAAGAATTCTGAGGTAAGTTTACATATACTCATATAATCTACTGATTTGAAATCTGTGAAAATGGCAAGGCCAGAATTCAGATTCAGCTTTTTCTAAAGATTCTTTGGGAATGTTGAAATTTGATATCCCCATTTTTTTTTTTAAATGTTTTATTGTGAATTGTGTGATAATCTACATGGGAGAACATCCACTTTACATTCATTCCATCGTTTCATTGGTATAGTTACCATCCCGTCCATGCATCCTCACCCAACCAAGGGATGTACCTTGTAAGCCTGCACCCCACCCCACCCCCACCACCACAGTCCTCAGCCCATTCCATCTCCTGATCCCAAGTCCCCAGCCACACCATCTCTTGACGTTGTCTTCTCTGCCTCCATCTCAGGCCCCACTGCCTCTCTGGGTAGGGTTCCGCTTTTCGCTCTTCTCCATCGATGGTCCCAGGGTCCTCCGCTCCTAGACTGAAAAGTTAATCACTCCCCTCTTTGCTACAAAAAGTCCATCTCTAGATTTCCAACCCTTACAATCAGTCCTGATAACAATCATTCACAATTGCATCACAAGAGATCCATCTGCATTTTGTTTCATCAGCCCTTCCTGGACAGGCTGGACACTATTCACTGGAGGATATCCCCATTTTTGTAGTAGTGTTGCAGATACGCTGTCTTAATTTCTTAAGCCTGTGTGGCATACTGGCCCAAATACATTATGCATGGTAAGAGGGATATAGTTGAATATGGCAAATCTTTAATCTGTGTGTTGCCTACAAGGGAATTCTGAGGAATGACATAAAAATAATAGTGTGAAACCCACATCTGAGAGTTTGTTGAGGTGACTACGGATTATATTAGCTGAGATGCCCTTTTTATAGAAAATCTTGCTTGTTCTTTCCTGGCTGAGTTGATGGTGAGTGTAGTTGTCATTCTCCTTGACTGTGGCCCAGAGTTCCTCCTGCTTGAGAATGTGGTGCACCACTTCAAGTACCCCTGTGTGCTGGACCTGAAGATGGGCACCAGGCAACATGGCGATGATGCATCTGCCGAGAAAGCAGCCCGGCAGATGAGGAAATGTGAGCAGAGCACGTCTGCTACGCTGGGTGTCAGGGTTTGTGGCATGCAGGTGAGTTGCCATGGTGAGAGCCTAGGTGTATGTACCTTCCTGCCACCCATTACCTATGCCGAGTATCCTCTTCCCTCATTGGTCCAGAGTTCTCTTGATCCAGGCACCAGGCTCTGGGCCTCAGAGCCCTCACTGTGACAGCCTGCTGCCTTAACGTTGTGATAACTGAGTCCCTTGAGGCTGGCAGCAGGACGCTCTAAGTTTGAGTTTAGCCAGGTCTCATGGAGTCTTTGAGAAGAGTTCTGAAGGTGACAGTAGGGAACCTGTAATCTTGGTTTCTTGGCTTTTGTGTGAGAAACTCAGGGTGAGCATGGCCTGCCCCCTCCATTTTGTTGTTGTTGTTTATTAAGTGCCATTGAGTTGGCTCTGACCCACAGCGACCCTGTATAAGGTTTCTGAGGAACAGCTGGTGAGCTTGAAACGCCGACCTTACGTTACGGTTCAAACTGTCCAGCACATTAACCCACAGCACCACATCACTATGCTTGGGTTTGTCAGAGGCATTCCAAACTGTGCTTGCCCAGAGCACTAGGTTATTAGACCACCAGGTACTCACTAGTCTGTTTCCTGTGATTTCAGGTGTATCAACTGGACACAGGGCATTACCTCTGTAGGAACAAGTACTATGGCCGTGGGCTCTCCATCGAAGGCTTCCGCAATGCCCTCTACCAGTACCTGCACAATGGCCTGGACCTGCGGCGTGACCTTTTTGAGCCTGTCTTGAGCAAACTTCGAGGCTTGAAAGCTGTGCTGGAGCGGCAGGCCTCCTACCGATTCTACTCCAGCTCCCTCCTAGTCATCTATGACGGCAAGGAGTGCCGGGCTGAGCCTTATCTGGACTGCTGGTCCGAGATGCGTCTCAAGCACCCGGACACGGGGCTCCCAGAAGTGGCATCACCCTGTGGTTCCAGCACCAACCCCAGCAGCACCAGCCCTGAGGCGGGCCCCTCATCTCTGCCCAAGGTGGATGTCCGCATGATCGACTTTGCACACAGCACATTCAAGGGTTTCCGGGATGACCCCACTGTACATGATGGGCCAGACCGAGGCTATGTATTTGGCCTGGAGAACCTCATCAGCATCATGGAACAGATGCGGGACGAGAACCAGTAGGCCCAACTATGGGCCCCTAGAACCCCTTCCTCTTCACCTACGGGCAGGGACCATCGCTCTGAATTCACCGTGAGGACACACAGACTTTGCTTTTAAAGGGTTATATTTCTCTTTGGTGTTACACTAAAAGAAATGTTTTTAGCTGTAGCCTGGAATTCATATATATACAGTGAAGGAGGATAGACCACATCCTCTTAGCCAGGCTTCATAGCTCTACAGGTCTGATTGCTGTGTCCAGGCTAATGTAGGAAGGAAGAGGTGGCCCCCAGTGGGCTTGGCAGTGGGAAGAGGGTGCCCTTGGACATGGGTTTCTCATGCCTAGGCCTTTGGGGTCTGTGGCTGCAGGACCCTGGGGATTATGGGGTGAAGCCCTGGGCTGGTGCAGGGCTCCTCCATGCCCACTCATCCCTGTCCCCCAGAAGTTGAGGTGATTGGGTACCTGTCTCTTGAGGGCTTTCCTGTGTTGTACTCTGGGTGTCAGCTAGATCTTCAGCAGATGTCCCTAGAGTGTCACAGGCCGGACTGCACACAGCTGGACCCTGCTTCTCAGTTCTGACCTTGGCATGGGGGCCAGATTCATGAAGCTGGGCTGAGGCCCACCAAGTCAGAGGCTAGGCCTCTGGGCTCCCTGGGCACCCCTTGGCACTTGAACTTATTCCTTCTCCTACCTTTGCACCCCTGCCAACCTCTCTCACTAAGACCCTTGCCCTTATAAGCCACTCCCTCCTGCCTCCCTGAGGGGTGCTCAGCTCTGATTGCTGAGGAAAGGCGATATCCTAGCAGGCTTTAGGCCAAGACAGTGTTTGCAGATCTTGTGCTGTGGATGGGAATCCTCTTCTACTTGGGCAGCTGAGCTGCCTCTGGAGGGGCTGCCTCTCCCAGGGCTCAAGGGCTGCAGCCCTCTCAGGGTCTCACATTTCCCCAGGCTGAGCTCAAGGCCATAGCCCATGTGAGGAAGTTCAAGCCCTGGACCTGGAGGGAGAACTTTCAGTTTATATGCTCACAGGGATATTGTCTTAGTCCGGGACGCAGGTTCCCAGATTCTGCTAATGAAAGCCTTGTCTGTTCAGACCTGGGGTTCATCAATCTGTCCATTTGTTCATCTTCCAGCCTGTCTCTGGGGTTCCCTTCCCTAGTGTGTAGCTTGCTCATTAGTAGATACTGCTTTCCTCAACAAAATTCCCTTTCTGAGGTGAATTTTTACCCCTGTGCCCGTCTTCAGCAGGTGCTTACCTTTTTATAAAGAACTGGTAGCAGAATTGTAAGAGTCATTTCCCTGCTGCCTCAGCACCTTCTTTGTGGGCCTGGTGTGTGACCCACTCTACATTGACAGTGGTGCAGTGAAGGCCCAGTGGTGGGGTGGCCCCTTTCTCCATGGTTTTAGTCAATGCTACCAGCTCTAGCACATGGACATTGCTAAGCCATCCAAAGCACCCTGTCACTTTGGGCATTCACAGTAAGTCTGTGTCTGTTGATTGGCCTTGGTAATGATGAGCTAATTTCTCTCCAGTCCTTACAGATGGAGCCTTACTTCTTAAATGGACTTCTTGATAGAACCCTGCAGTTCTCAGCCCTCTGACCCTGTGCCAGTGGTGGGCAGGATCCCATTCCTTAGGGCTGGGAGGACAGTGTGCCTGTTTCTGGTCAGTAATGACTAATTTTTTTCTTGTACCAATCTGTATTTGGTCATGGGTGCACGGTAGCCGTTTGCTAGACTGTCATTTTCTGCCAGGACAAAGGATAAGACAAAACCTGTCCAGCCTGGCTATGGGCTGGAACCTCCTGAGTTTCTAGATTATGGGAGCAGATGCTGCCTTCTTCTGCTGCTCTTCATAGTGAGAGGCTGCATCTACTTATAATTCAGTGTTTTCCTGGCACTGAAAAGAATTTACGGGCCTGGGATTTGCTGCTGTGCCCCCAGGACAGGGCTCCCCTTTTCAGCACTTTCTTGACACTGGAGACAGCCCTGTTGTCTCAGCTTGGGTGGTGGTGGTGGTGGGTATGTTCGTGTGCATATTCTGCCACTGCTCATTCTCCCGCCTCGAAGCTAGAGAGCCCTATTCCTGCCAGGGTCTGCCTTCCCAGCCCCAATTTGGGACCAAAGTGCAACGTGGGATCATGGATTGGGGTCACAGATGACCCCTCTCTACAGTGCTTCCCAAGGCCAAGCTGACACCAGTCCCACCCCCCCACTCCCCCGTGGGCGGGGTGGGGTGGTGCTTAAAGAGGAAGGGGACCAGTGTAGCAACTTGCCAGGGACCCCACCCCTCCCACTCAGGGCTTGTGCAATGGGCATGGGGATTAACCCCCTAGAGGCCAGGGGCCTGGGCGAGATCCTTAGCCCCTGGGCTCACGCCTGGCCCCATGCACGTTCCCTAGTATCAGATCTTTTGAAGTAATGTAAAATCTGGTTTTGTTTGTGACGATTTAAAAATGTTTTAATGACAAAAAAAAAAAAAGCCCTGGGAAGGACCTGCCTGGTTCTTTTGCTTCTTGGGGAACAGTAAGGCCTGGCTTTCGGGAAATTGCTCTCTGTCCGTATTTCCTGGAAGCTAACCTAGCTTGTCCACTCCACTGAGGCTGCGTCCCTAGGCTCCAGTTGAATGCACCCAGTTGTGTTTTCTTGGGACCTTGGAGAGCGGGAGCCTCTGCCGAGTTCGCCCCTTTCTGTGCACCTAGCGCTGTCCGCCCCGCTTGTGTCTGAGGTCGTGTAAGTCAAATAAAGTCGCTAGAAACTGAGGTTGGTTCGCCTCTTTGTGTAACCCTCGCGATTTCCGGATAACCCGGCTGGCAGGGCCCCCTAACCCCACCCTCTGTGCCCTGTCCCTAGCCTCCAGTCCTCATTCCGCCCCGGAGTGGAGGGGCGGGCTCACGAATGGGCGAGACCGGAAGCGACCATTCCCGCAGCTGAATCCGGCTGGCCGGGCTTGACGCCTCGCTTTTGGCACTAGTTCCGTCTTTGGATCCGCCAATGGACAGCTGACCCGCGTGCCCGGGTCCCGGTTCCCATGGCAGCCCGGGAGCTCGGGCCCTCATTGGTTACGTCTGCTGAAACGCCGCGCTCCAGCGTTTCGTCGCCGCGGCCGTGCCACGTACACGGCAGCCGATTGGTTTACCAGGGCCACGTCACTGCCCGCGCCGGGTCGGCCTGAGTTTCGAGTCAGCGGCTGTGTTTCGTGCTTCGCGTCCTGGTTTGTGGGGGTCCCGGATTTCACGTTAAAGCTGACTGGGGTAGACGAGACAGAGCCCAAATCGGTCAGTTTGGCAGGTGAAGGCCGGGCATAGCGGCGGGGGTGTGACAGGCGGGCCGGGACACGTCGGAACCCGGGACTCAACTGCCTGGACGCAAGCAGGTGCGATGAAGGCACTGATTTTGGTTGGCGGCTATGGGACGCGGCTCAGGCCGCTAACGCTGAGCATTCCGAAACCACTGGTGGACTTCTGCAACAAGCCCATCTTGCTGCACCAAGTGGAGGCTCTGGCCGCGGTAAGACCCGGAGTCGGGGACGGGACAAGGGTCGACTGGAGGTCAGGGTTTCCCAGGCTTTTCCGTTTAGTTAGTGTCTTGGGCGTTGTATTCGGCAGGCAGGCGTGGACCACGTGATCCTAGCCGTGAGCTACATGTCTCAGGTGTTAGAAAAGGAAATGAAAGCGCAGGAGCAGAAGGTGAGGCTTGCACCCTCTGCCTTTTTGTTTGCTTCCCCCACCCACTCCCCGGTCATTGGAACCTGATTTTGTGGCTTCTGTTTTCCAGTTAGGAATTCGCATTTCCATGTCTCATGAAGAGGAGCCTTTGGGAACAGGTCAGTACAGACAGGAAAGTCTCTTGGGGAGGGTGTAGGGCTAGGAAAGCAAGACACTGAGCTGTCGAGCCTGGCTCCAGGGGCTCAGACCCCCCCCCCCCCCCATAAGGTGGTGACCTGCTTTCCTCCCCCAGCTGGGCCCCTGGCATTGGCCCGTGAATTGCTGTCTGAGACTGAAGACCCTTTCTTCGTACTCAACAGTGATGTTATCTGTGATTTCCCCTTCCAAGCCATGGTGCAGTTCCACCGGCATCATGGCCAGGAGGGTTCCATTGTGGTAAGTCCACTTGCTCCTCTGATAGTCCCACCCCATGTTCAGCCTGATCCACCCCCCCAGTCTTGAACTGCCACCTCATGTGGTGGGAGCATAGCTGTGTAGTATGTATTTGGGGCACATCCCCCGAGATTTGAAGAGCGTAAGTATCCAGACCCAGGAGCATTGCTCTAGGCCTGAGGCCCTCCTGCACTCAGGTGACCAAAGTGGAGGAGCCCTCCAAGTACGGTGTGGTGGTGTGTGAGGCTGACACAGGCCGCATTCACCGGTTCGTGGAGAAGCCACAGGTGTTTGTGTCCAACAAGATCAACGCAGGCATGTACATTCTGAGCCCTTCAGTGTTGCGGCGCATCCAGGTGTGTGGGAACCAGCTTGGGGTGGCCTGGAGGGTGGGTCTGGTCACCAGCACCACGACCCTGCTTACAAGATGTCCGTCCCCACAGCTGCAACCCACATCCATTGAGAAGGAGGTCTTTCCCATTATGGCCAAAGAGGGACAGCTGTTTGCCATGGAACTGCAGGGTGAGGCAGGGAGGCTGTGGGTTGGGGGTGGTTTGTGGCTGGGCTCAGCCCTCTGATGTGCCCATTCCTACAGGTTTCTGGATGGACATTGGGCAGCCCAAGGATTTCCTCACTGGCATGTGCTTATTCCTGCAGTCATTGCGACAAAAGCAGCCTGAGAGGCTCTGCTCAGGCCCTGGCATTGTGGGCAACGTTCTTGTGGTGAGATCCTTGTTCAGCTCCGCCCATTATTAACCGCCTCAATCTTGGGATATGTGGCTCACGTGTGTCTTCCTCACCACCCTCAGGACCCAAGTGCCTGCATTGGCCAGAACTGCAGCATTGGCCCCAACGTGAGCTTGGGTCCTGGTGTGGTGGTGGAGGATGGTGTGTGTATTCGGCGGTGCACAGTGCTTCGGGATGCCCACATCCGCTCCCACTCCTGGCTCGAGTCCTGTATTGTGGGCTGGCGCAGCCGTGTGGGCCAGTGGGTAAGCCTGTAGGTTAGGCCAGGTGGGGAGTGGGACAGGAAATGTACTGGTTTCGCTAACAGTCTGTCCCTCTTCAAGGTACGCATGGAGAATGTGACAGTGCTGGGTGAGGACGTCATAGTTAACGACGAGCTCTACCTCAATGGGGCCAACGTACTGCCCCACAAGTCTATCGGCGAGTCAGTGCCGGAGCCTCGCATCATTATGTGAGGGTGTACTTTGGGGCTGGTGGAGGGCCCCAGAACTCGTTGCCATTTGTCTGGGGAGGATTTAATGAGGCTGATGTTGGACACATGCTTTCTTATATGGGTGGATCTGGTAGGGTCCTTGCTGGGCAAAACTTAAAGTTCAGATACAGGGATATATGGAATAATAATTTAATGCTTACTGTGGCCCTGACTGAAAGTCAAGCTCAGGCACAATTAGGGCCAGGGCTGGGCTCCCATCAAGGAGGGGACACTCAGGCAAGAGAAGGGTTGGATATGGCAGGGGACCCTGGGAAACAGGGCAAGAGGAGCTCATAAATAGGACCCAATCTGGGCTGGATTTGAGGGTTCAGGTTGTTTGGGCCAGGTAGGGGCTAGGCAGCGGAGGAGGTGGTACTCGAGTTGGTGGATTTCTCCCAGTCCTCCACAGACACAATGGTGGCTTTGCAGAAGAAGCAGTCTTTGTTGTTCATCAAGTGCTGGTTGATGCAGGCTCTACCACAGGAAAAAGAATAAGTTTCCCAACCTTGTCTATTGCTTCTGGTCCCCCTAAACTCCCTCCCCACCAGTGTGCAGGCCCTCTTACTTGCAGGACTTGTGGCCGCAGGGCTGGAACACAGCAGAGATAGGGTGGGCATAGCAGATGGGACAAAGATCTTCTTCGCTGGTGGGCTGCAGGAAGGAGTGCAGAGTGGGCTGGTTTGAAGCCCCATGGGGACTTCAAAGTTTGTGAATAGATTGAAAAGCTAATGCCTCCCCCCGCCAAGGAAGTGCTGTTGGCCACATTTGAATGGTGTGTACCTGTATGCTGAGGCCACTCACCAGAGAGGCAGCTGCTGCCTGGGCAGATGCAGAGGTCAGGTGTGTCAGAATCTGTTGCACCTGAGCCAGCTCTTGGGCACTGATATAATCTGGGTCTGGGGGTGGGTAGGTGGAAGGGATCAGGCTAAATGTTGCATTAGAACTTAATGCCTCCTGAGAAATCTCCAGCCTAGGAATTTGCAGTTCTTGAGACCCCTGCCTGGCCCAGCCCCAAATGCCCACTTCCCTGCCATCCCCACACCCTCTCCAATTCTGCAAGGTTACAGAGCTTCCCTTGACTCACAGCTATGCAGGGAGAAACGCTTGTGATCAGGGGCAGGAGGGGTAATGCCAGGTGCTGAGGGCTCTGCCTGCCCCAGGAGATAGCTTATAGAACGGAGCTGAAAGCAGGGGTCTGCCAGGAGCACAGAAGTAGCTCGCTCTGCCCTGGGGAGGAACAAGGGATGATGTCACAGAGCTTACAGCCTGTTGGAAGACAATGCCTTACTGACATTGTCATTCCTTCACCTATCTCCCTGCTGGTTACCAGCCCAGTAAATCCTGGTTCCTGATAAGCACCACAGTCTGGGTGCCAATTTCAGAACTACCAGAAGTCCATCAGCCTTGTAACACATTAATCCTCAAAGTCAAATGATGTCAGTTCCCACTCATAGCAACCCTGTAAAGGGTTTCTGAGCAGCAGCAGCTGGTGGATTTAAATTGCCGACCTTGTGGTTTGCAATCTGGCTGTGAACAGGGGTTTAAAGATGCTTTCCTAGCCACCTTACAGGCTGTGATATTCAGATGAGAAGTCACAGAACCCGCAGGCCAGATGCTTGTTGGGACCAGGCTCGCGCCCCCTCTGGCGGCCACGGGAAGTCCGTGGCCGCAGTAGCCCCGCCCCTCCAGCAGGAACCAATGTGGGCTCTAGGTCCCAACCCTAAGCCACCGCCTCCCAAGGAGTATTTAGCTAAGTGACTGGGAAGAGCGCCTGGAGAGCGAGGGGAGCCTGGGAAGGGAGTGGAGCTCAGCTTCAGCTTGCTGCCTGGGAGCTTAAGCGTAGCGCGCAGTAGTAGACAAAGCCGCTTCCTGATACTCTGGTCATGATCCGTCCAGTACCGCACACGTTGAGTCAGCGCAGAAACGGGTGAGTCCTGGAGCTTCGCCTGTCATAAGACTTGTCCCATTCCGGGTGGCCCCCCGCCATGGCCCAGCTGGTAGTGCTGGGCACACTGCTGTGCACGCTGCACAGCGGGTTAGGTGTACTAGATTATTCCGAGGACTTCTCACCCCTTCCGGCCCACCACTGCCCTGACCAGTGTGTCTGTGCTGCTGATGTGTTGAGCTGTGCAGGCCTGGGGCTGCAGGAAGTGCCAGCCAGGATCCCTGCCGCTGCTGTGAACCTCGACCTAAGCCACAATGTACTCCAGCGCCTGCGTCCCAGCTGGTTGGCGCCCTTCTCCCGGCTGCGCACGCTACGCCTAGACCACAATGAGTTGTATTCATTAGGTGGTGGTGTCTTCACCAATGCCAGTAGCCTGAAGCTGCTTGACCTATCGTCTAACGCTCTGCGGGCCCTGGGCCGCCACGACCTTGATGGGCTTGGGGCACTCGAGATACTGTTGCTGTACAATAACCACTTGGCCCACTTGGATGAGCACGCCTTTCGTGACCAGGGCATACTCAGCCGACTCTACCTGGGCTACAATGAACTGGCCTCCTTCGATTTCGACCACCTACATGGGCTGGACACCGCCCACCTACGCATCCTAGACCTCTCTTCCAACCACCTGAGGCGCATTCCAGTGCTGAAGCTGGCGGCACTGCCAGCCTTTCTCAAGAATGGCCTCTACTTGCACAAGAACCCCTTGCCCTGTGACTGTCGCCTCTACCACCTGCTGCAGAACTGGCGTCAGCGGGGCCTCAGCGCCGTGCACGATTTCGCCCACCTATACACGTGCCTGGCCTTCAATGTCCCAGCGTCCCGCGTAAGCTTCTTCGACCACAGCCGTGTCTTTGAAAACTGCTCGGTGGCCACTGCTCACAACTTAGAGCAATCGGAACAGCGGCTACCCGTGCAAGTGGGCAGTTCCCTGCATCTGCGCTGCAACACCAGTGCTCCAGCTATCCACATTGCCTGGGTCTCCCCGCAGCACGAGCTGCTTCTTGCACCAGGATCCCAAGATGGTACTATCAAGGTACAGGCTGATGGCAGTTTGGTCATCAGTAATGTGCAGCTGCGTCATCAGGGCATTTTTGTCTGCCTGGCCAGTGGGCCCCGTCTACACAACCAGACTCATGAGTACAATGTGAGTGTGCACAAGCCTGACTCTAAACCTGAGGCTTTCAACACAAGCTACACCACGCTGCTGGGCTGCGTTGTGGGGCTAGTACTGGTGCTGCTCTACCTGTTCTTGCCACCCTGTCGTGGCTGCTGCCGTTGCTGCCGCTGCTGCCGATGGCCACGAGCACCCAGCCCTCTCCAGGAACTGAGTGCACAGTCCTCGGTGCACAGCACCACGCCACCAGAGGCACTCAGCCGCAAGGCCAGCACCCACAAGCATGTGGTCTTTCTGGAACCCAGCAGGAGCGGCCTCAATGGTCGAGTGCAGTTGGCTGTAGCTGAAGACTTCGACCTCTGCAACCTGGGGGGCCTGAAGCTCAAGGTCAGCTCAGAATCTGCTAGCTCTACTGGCTCTGGGGGTCCAGTGATGATCTAGGCTGCAGAATCTCCCGCTCCCCCCAGACCACTGCCCTGCCTGCGCTTGCCTGGCTCTCTGCCACCTGTCCTGCTCCCTGCTGCGATCCAGTAAGTGTCAGGTACTGGTGGGAAGCCCTGGGCCTGATCTTTTAACCAACTTAGGCTGAAGGTTTGGAGTCCCCAGCCATCTCCTGTTCTACTCCAGTAAAGAACCTGGGCCCCACTTGCCCTGGGAGCTCCTGGTCCCCAACTGGCCCATGAGGATTGGGGGTTGAGACGCATCTAGTTGAGCACTTGCAATAATGCTCCAACAGCTGTCAAGGCATAGCACTGAAGAGCTGTGGCATACCCAGGGAAGGCACACCCCCCACCTTCCCTTTCCCAAGGGCCTGGGTAGGAGTGAGACAGACACAGGGAACTAGGGGGAAGCTCAGAAGAAGACCTAGCTGCCACACTACCCAGGGCAGGAGGAGGGAAAATCATGTGAAACAAGGCTCTCCGTCTATCAACAATCAGATGCAGCGTCAGGTGGACAGACATTAGGCAGGCCTGGCCTAAGTCTAAGAGAGACTAGCCCAACTAGAGGCTACCTTGAGGGCAAAGCCTATTCCATGACTGCAACTCATTAGGCAGCACTGAGGGGCACCATGGCCTATGTCCTCTGCTTTCCAACAGCAAAAAGCCAGGCATGGCCCAGCTGGGGGGTGAACTCACTGAGCCGGAATTCACTGTCCCTTGAGGGCAAGAGCCTCTTAAGGGCTGGCATTGGTCTTGGTGTAATAGCTGAGGCAGCGCCCCAGCTTTGTGTGCATCTCATCACTCTCACTGCAGGGGAGGCAAGGAAGGGGGTTAAGAACCCCTCATGTGGCTAGGCCCAGCTGCCACGAAGATTCTTAATAAAGGTAAAATGTGCTCATGGTTGGAGGCTTCACAGATGTGTGTGTACGTTCCCAGGCTGGTTTCCCTGCCTCTGTCTGGGGCATGTTCACAGCCAATGGCTCTGATCATAGGCCAGGACACCTTGTCCTCCTGGGGTCTCCGGTTCTACTCAGACCTGCTGCTGCTGTCACCACTATCTTTCTAGGCACCCCCACCCCCCTCAAAGATCTGGTATTCAGGTTCGCTGTACAGGTAAGGGAACTGAGGTGCAGGGAGGCCCTGCCCAGCCCCCTTACCATCAGACAGCACTCACCCTGAAGCTGGCCCATGCACCAGGAGCTGCACCAAGATGCCTGTCACTGCCACCAGGATGGGATAGTGGTCCACACTCTCTAAGCCTAAGGTGAAAGGAAGGAGAGTATGAACCATGCACACGCACCTGCTGTAGGGCCTCCAGGCCTTCCACCTCTCAACTGTCCTGGCACATAAGGCAAAGCTGAAGCTGGGGGACAGGACTGGCTGTCCCCAGCCCAGTCTGGAGGATTGGGCATCACTGCTCCTAGCAGAGGACCAAGGCCCCTGTGGGTGCTGGGGTAAAGGATGTCTCAGTTCTCACCAGGCAGACGCAGGGTGACCACTCGGTCAAACAGGTTCCTCTCAGCTGTCACCCGGTTCAGCACCTGGTTCAGCAGCTGTGAGCACAAGAGCCCATTTTTGGATTGGTAGGCTTACTACTGGGGCATCTCCAGGACCCCACCCTGTCTGCCCAGATGGACTGACCTGTGCAAGACGCCGCAGCAGCATCTCAGAGGTAGGCTGGGTCCAGTCGAGGAATATCTCAGGCACCAATGTGATGGTCATCTCCAAGACACGCAGCAGGCTGACTGAGAGGTCAAAGCAGGTGGCACATACTTTGAGTTGCCGGCTGTCCACGAAGTTCCGCTCTAGGCGTTCGGCTGCCTGCTGGATCTACGCCACCATTGTTGGACAGAGACAGGTTAGTGGCCTACTCAACACACCCTAGGACCATGCCACGTCCTTACACAACCCTGGTCCACAGGGTCCGACCACAGCCCACCTCCTGGATCATGCCGATGAACTCCGAGAAGGCCCAGTTGAGCTGGTTGAGGACACTGTTGAGGAAGCTGGGGGCCACATCAGGACCCTGGCGCAGCAGGTCTGCCATGTGCTGCTGTAACAGGGTGGAGGGGCAGGGCTCTGCAGGGGCATGGGGAGGGGGTATCATCGGTGATGCCAGTACAGTGGGTCCTGCTTATCTGCCTGTCCTCACCACTGGGCTCCTGGTATACCAGGACAGAAAGCTCCCTGGAATGACGTAGGTCGTGTGGATAGGAAGCCAAGGTGCTGTACCTGCTGGCTCCCTCTGGGGGAAGTTACAGTAGCAGGTGTTCCTGTCCCTAACCCCACCACTCCCCTAACCCTGCATGACCCTTGGCCTGGAGCAACCACACAACCTTAGCCCGACTCCTTGAATGGGGCTGGACCTGTACCCCTCTCAACATGTATCAGGGACAGCTTCCCTGAACATCTGCTCTTAGCCAGAGTCCTGCTGTCCTATGCTGCCCTTGGCCTGGCCTTGGCATATGGGAAAGGGGGTGGGCGCCAAGTCTGGGGCTGGCAGGCAGTAGTAACCAGAGCCCTCAGCCACAGTTGGGACCAGCATGCTTCCCCCACCTCCTGATGCAAATCAATAGTCCCGGCAGCAGCAGGACGCAGACCTGGCCCCACCACCGCCTCTCCACCCACAAGCTCAGTTCTGCCAGGGCAGCACCAAGGCAATTGGCAAGCAGTTGCTATGTGACTTTGCATAAGGCACTTGCCTACTCTGGAGATATCCTTCACACCAAAACATTGCCCACAAAGGCAAAAACAGGCCAAGGGCAGTCACCAGGTAGGCTGAGTACAGTGTGTGTCAGGTGGAACCTGAGACCCCCTAGCAGGATGTAGGTAAAGGTCTTCAGGCTTCTGAACCTTGGCTGGACCATAGCCCCAACAATGCCTCTGCTCCCAATCAAAGGGCTCTTCTGGTCATGAATGAGCCCCAGTCTGTACCCCAACTCAGGCCTGGACATGGTGCTAGGATAAGGCTGGAGGTTGAAGAGGTGGCTCAGTTTACAAAGGACAGGTTCCTCACCCTGAATAAGGCTGGGGAGCTGCTGACCCTTGTCACTGTGACCCATCACACTGGTGCCCAATGGCACACACAGAATGGTACCACCCTACCAACTTCCCTGGCCCTCAGCAGGTACAGTCTCAGAGTGTCCAGTTTGGGGCCCAGCTGGAAGAAAGAAGTTGGCAAGTTTCAGAGAATCCTAGGCATGATGGGTGACTGAAGCAGCCCAATTGGATACTTACTCTGGAGGCTGGGCAGATTAGCATCCTCAGGTTTGGTTTTCAGCAGGTGTGGCAGCCGTGTATAGCGGTAGCCAAACCCACAGCCCTGGGGGAGGAGGGTGGTGGTGGTGGTGTGTGTCAGTGAGGGGTTAGTGCAGCAGGCCAACCCCTCCCTCCAGCCAGCTTTAGCCCCCATCCTTCCAGTTAGGCTTACCCTCCATCCTTCCAGTTAGGCTTACCCTCCAGAGTCGCACAAGGATCCAGTTGGTCTGGGCCCAGGGCCGCTGCTCATAGGGTGCCAGGAGGTTCCTCACCATGGCAATGCGCCTGTGAGGGCAAAAGGTAGTGAGCACAGGGTTAGGCTGGGTGTGGTGCTGGGCAGGGCAGGTGTGTGACCCCACACCACTACCCACACTCACTGCTCCTCAGGGATCCGCTCCACAGCCCGCAGGGAATGTGGGTAGCACACGTAGCTGGCCAGGGCTTGCATCAGTGAGTCACGGATATCTGCCGAGTGAGGGCATGCTTCAGCAGGTACCTGACCTGAAACCCAGCCCCATGACTCATGCCCACCAGGCCAGCATTCTGTACCCAAAACAGCCAGATTTACCATCCTGCCTGAGTCCCCCACCCAACTGTAGGGTGCCTCACCAGTGCCTATGATGCGTGTGTCAGCAAAATGTTTGGCAAGGATAGCAGCCAGGCGGGTCAGGGTCTCTTCGTAGCCTGCAGGGTGGGGTAGTGGGAGTGAGTTACTGACAAGAGGTTAGGCTGAAAGGCAGGCCTGTCCCGTGGCAGCATGGGTGGCAGTCTGGCCTGGTCTGGTATCTGGGGACATTGGGCATTGGTATTCAGTCAGTTGGTGAGGGGCTCACTATGGGGGAAGGGCACATCCTGGCAAGACTCCTGACCTGGGCTCAAAGCCCATCTCAGAACACACATTTGATGACCCAGTAGTCCAAGCTCCCTGGTCTCCCACAGCTCTGCCTCTGAGGCCTGGGGTAGGGCAGGGCATCCATTGAGCCAACGGCCTGACAGCCCACACAAGGTGCAGACAGTAACTACCAAGTCCAGCCTGGAATCAGTGGACTTTGAGAAGCCTGCTGTGACTCTGTGACTGACAGAGATAACTTTGCCCCACAAGAGCACTCATAGACCAGTGCCAGGGAGCAGGGTCAGGGGTCAGCACCTCAGGAAGTGAACCAGAGTCACCCTCCCCACGCCCCAACCCCGGTCTGTCCTGTCCTGTCTGCCTTCCTCTCAGCAACAAGAGGAGCTGCTGCTTCTGTCGCTGCTGGTTCCAAAGCAGGGTTCTCCATGTGGGACTTTCGCAAACATTGGGTCTGGTACAGGCTCCTCCCCATGTGGACCTGTGCTGCTGGGCCACAGATGGCTTAGACCAGGGCTTAAAGGGCTCATGCCAAAGGCCACTTTTCTGTCCCCTCCCAGCCTGAGTGGCCCCATCACCTGGAAGCTCCTCCATGCTGTGCACAGGGCCAAAGTAATTCTTGAGGGCGCTATAACTGTTGATGGCCACACTCAGGTAGAACTCGGGCATGAAGGCAAAGAGCGAGCCGGTGCGGTCGCCATGCTCGATGGTCCGCAGGCAGACACGCAGCAGCCAGTAGATATCTAGCATCTTCTCCTGTGGGGGCACATGGGTAGGGTCACAGGGACATGGCCTGGTCTGAGGGTCAGGAAAGGCCTTCCACTGGAGTGGAGGCAGACTTCAGGAAATGTGAGCAGCGGCTCAGGAATGGTTGAGGAACACTTGGTAGGTACGAA